CTATGTGCTTAACTGCCTAGACATAATTGTGTTTGTATAAAATTGTAAACTCAATCCCCATTTATATGAATAAGTAATTTAAATTAACTCGAAACTAATAGTAACAACACTAGTCACTGATTTATAATCAATACAATGATGTAATGTTTATTTCCATTTAAAATAATTCTGTAGTTTTAGCAAAGAAGTCTTTTGAAAATTATAAGGAGGAACCCAAGAGACAGTATTTATCATATTTTCAGCTTGAGATTGCATATACGATATATTTACATGAACAGTTTAGGATTAAAAAATGAAGGGTAGTTAAAACATGTTTACAAAACCCAAACAAACTAAAACAAGGAGAGATTAGTTTCATGTGAGAATGATCTATTAGTTGAATACTTGATTTTAATGAACTTGACCATTAACTGATTAAAAACTCCACTAGTCACTCAGCTTTAAACTTGATATATATCTAAATGATCAGGGTTGGATTTGAATGTTATCTTTTAAAATGGTTAGAACAGTCTTGATGGACCAACAAGCCTTTTGCCCTTAAATGTTAATGTTTCTACAGTTTTATGCCTTTTTATTATATTAAAACATGTGCTCTGAACAACTATCAATAAAGCTCAGCTTTAAAAATAGTTATAAGCAGGGATGCACAGGTAGTAAAATTTGGCTGAATACCGGGCAACTAAGCTTCGGCTATGGGCCAGGTGTCAACTGGGACCAGGTTCTCCCCTTGCCCCCACACACATAAAAATTAGAAACAAAAAAACATTTATTAACATTTATTACATTTAACCGAGTAATCACTAACAGAGCATTCAAGTTTTATTTTCAACTTTTAATGCCTAGCCCCAAATTATCAAACCCTAACCCCCACCTTCCCCAGAAATCTACTTCTCAAGCCATGCCTGTTATTAACCCCTATTGTTATCTGAATCCTGACTTTTAGTGGGCGGTCAGTTTTTGTTGTTCGGAACACTTTTTTTTTTATAACTAAACCAATTATTGACTGTAACTTTCAGTACTGTGTTAGTTGCCACAAAGATTATGGCTTAGATGCCTAACTTCAACACTCTGCCAGAGCCAAGTATTATCGGGTAGCCCAATACCCAGCCGGGGCCAAATATCTGGCCAGGTACCCGTGCATTCCTAGTTATAAGAAAAGTTTAAATACCATTGGATAGAGCACATTATAAACTAATTATGTTAAGGTAGAGTGAATAACATTGTGTGAGAAGTAACTTATTGCTTCTTGTATAAGTGACAAGATGATAATTCCTGCAAGGAAGAACACAAATCTAATGAGAAGTGTAGAAAACTTAGGAGGAAACCACAGGTCTTGGAATATTTCTAAGTTTTTCTAGGTGTTCTTTTACTCCCTGAAAATGTTTTTGTGTTCAGTTATATTTGTTTAATTGAAAGATACAGAAATCCTTTTAATGACAAGACATCAGGTAAGCTTAGTTAGGCTTGGCAAGTACAATATGTGATGGCAAAATATTTTCCAAGGACTCAAACCCTTATTTCCTGAATAATTTTGCTAAATTTACCATATTCAAACAATGAACATAAATAAATAAGTTTATTATTTACTGAAACAAAAGTATATTTATTAGATATATTAATTGACATAGACTAAGAATACTGTTATCTAGCCTGACCTAATGCCATTTTGAAAGTCAGATCCTAGGTCACTGATAATTTTCTCTGTCAACAGAGACAGTGTTTTTATGATTTATAAACAGAAGTGGCAACTACTGCAATTAGCCAAATAAAGTATCAAAAGCAATACATTAACAAAAATCAATCAAGTTGAAACAGATTGGTTATATAAAATGGAACTTCCTGATCAACAATTAAAAAAAAAAGAACTTTTAAGATTAAAGGCAGTATATTTAATGTTTTTTCAAGCAAGTGTCTTACCACACAATTTTGTAAATTTCACAAAACTTACAGAAAAAAACAAATCATGTATACAAATTTTTTTAACCTGAAAGCAGATACTGATTAGTACATTTGTTCTAGGGTTCATGCAATTTGTATTTATACTGTGAGAAGGAAAAAAATCAAGGGATATTAATGGCACGCGTCTGGTCCATGAAGGATTAATATAAGTTTCAGGATAATTCTTGAGACTATAAAATCATTTATGGATTATTCAGTAAAATTTCCTAAGAATCCATGTAAGCTGTAAAAATATTATTCAAACATGTATAATTGCTGCAATAGTGCAATATAAAAAATTACTTTTCAGGAAGTACTTAACACTTACAGCAACAGTTTTAAAAGATTTACCTGTAGTTTTTCTTTTGTCATATCCACTTGAGAGACAATTTATTGCTGCTGTTACCAGTGTTGGTTCACTAAATCCAAGGAACTTTTGAACAGTTTTGTCAATCCATGGTTTTAATTCTTCAAGATCTCTTCTTGACAGTGCCATCTGATAAAATATAAACATACAATTTTAAAGTATTTTTTTTTTACAAGTCTATTGTGTGTACAAGTTTGAGAATTCTATTTTTGGAGATCATTTACAAAAGCAGAAGAAGAAGATTGCATAATAGTGTTTCTTAGCACACCAAGTAATCAGCTTTTGCTTCATTTCTGCAAGATTGTTTTCCATCGATTATATAACCCATATAAATTATATTTTTCCTCCAAGAGGGGGGATGTTTGGGAAAGATATTTGAGATAAAAAGAAATGAAATTTGAGTTTCTGATTTTAAGAAAGTCAATTTTTAGGTCATGGAATAAGATTTATCAGTAGTTAATTGAAAAAATAAGTCAAAAGGTGATGTGGTATACATTGATAAAATGTTTAAAAATGGTTTTAATTCAAGATGCGCATTTCTAGAAAATGGAAAATAACATGAAAAAAGACTGAACCTATTTGGCTTCCAAGAGACATAAAAAAGAAAATCAGAGATACATAACATAAGTTTAAGAAGGTTACATTGAGAGATAGAATGGAAGATTCACAGAAGTATGGGAAAGCATGTTAAACATAAGCAAAGTGTTACAATTATGATTGGGCATTTAAAGGATGCTAATTTCAAAGTTTTTGTTAAAACTTTTAAATTTCATTTAAACCATAAAATAAGCAACAACAAGAAAAAGAAAAAAAAGTTGAAAACTGGCTATTAAGTTGATTAACCTAATTAAGAAACTTTATATTTCATCCTCACGACCATATTGACAGTGTCAGATTGCAATACACAATATAGGCCAATAACAATACAAGTATCATGCACGCTACGACTCCAGTATCCAACAAATTAGTTAAAACTTCAAATTTAAGTTAAATGTAACTTTTTTCATTTTTACATAACTACTACTGTACAACTTACAACTACATTAGGCTCTGTGCTGTGGTATATCTAAAAAGTTATAAATTTAATAAAATAACTGAAAAGCTATTTTTCTTATCAAAAATTCATATTCATAACTGAAATTAAAAGACAAGGTAAAGATACGTTTTTTGTTTGTTTTTTAAATCCTTAGACCTAGCCTATAATACCTTAATTTAGATTACAATCCTAGAAAAGAAATACGGATTACGTCTTAAGTTTTAACACCACTCAACCGCTGAATACAATCAACGGTTAGGCTTAAAAATGTTATTCACACTCTCAACCATAAAATGCTGCCTGGAACCGCTTCTAAAAGTATGAGAATACAAAAATCATCACACATCATAAGCGTGAGATACAAAACAAATATAATAAGAAGAACGTGTTTGGCAGTCTATTACACATTTTATTATCTTTCAAATTAGGTATATAAACAAAATAAATCCAGTTAACGATACATTTAAGAAATAATCAAATAGAAATATGCAAGTAAACGAAAATTTCTAAAATTAATATTATTTCAAATATATTTTATTTAAATGTCATCTGTAATATCTATTAAAATTCTATTGTATTATATTATGAGCTAGCATGATTTGTTTGTTTGTTGAATTTTGCGAATGCTACTAGACGGCTATTTGTACTAGCCATCTCTAAGTTTGAAGTGATAGATTAGAGGGAAGACAGCTAATCAACATCAAACACCGACAAGTCTTGGGCTACTTTTCACTAAAGAATAATAGGATTGACTGTCACATAATAACGCCTGCAGGACTGAAAGAACAAGTGGTTGGATTCGAACCCGCGACTTCAAATTTTGAAGTCATGCCCCCCTGTCATGCCAGGCCCTCCAGAACTGTCAGAGAAATTAGCTGGACATGCATACATAAAGATAGAGCTTAGTAAAGCAAATTAAAATATTTTTACTATTTAATCCTTCGGTATCTCAACCGTAAGACTGGTTAGTTGTTGTTTGGTTGTTTGTAATTAAGCACAAAGCTACACAATGGGCTATCTGTGCTCTGCCCACAACGGGTATCGAAACCCGGATTCTAGCGTTGTAAGTCCGCAGAGATACCGCTGTGCCACTGGGGGGCCCGTAAGATTGGAATATTATGACAGTAGATTTAGAAGATCGTTACCCACAGTGGACAAAACATAGATAGCTCAAATGCATTAAAAAACATTTTCTTGAATGCTTAGATGAGTAGTTTTTACAACTTACTTTGCAGTGTTATTACATATATAGCAAAATGCGAAGTTGATAAAATAAAGAAATTATACTTTTGGAGATAAATCACCTTAAAAGAACTACAGCTGTATTTGATTTCCTTGGCGATATTTCGAGCAAGCGCTCTTTTTCAAGCCAGAAACAAGCCTATCAGTTAACGTGAAACTACTGGAGGTAGTCTTTTCAGTTCTTAATGCTATGTGTAAGAGAAAACGGATTTACTAAACCTAATAGTTTAAATTAAAACAAGAATAAATACTGTGTTAATATAATTCTATTTTAACCTTACATATTTACAAATGGTTCTTTAGTTTTACTTTGAGCAATCATCTTTCTTTGTTTAGCTACCTTCTGGCCAAAATCGCTTTTTTATCTTCCCAATTCGTTAATCCTTACTAAAATACATGTATACTTCAAGAAACACGAATTTGTATAAAATATACATGTCTACACGCTTAGTCTTAAATATTAAAGTGGCTGACGTGGCTTAATAGTAACATATTGAGCTGTTGGAGGGCCCGACGACTAAAATGTAATGCTGTTGAGCATGGTCTGTATTTTTAGTTGTAAGCACGTTTGGAACATGACAGTCAATCTCACTGATGAGCTCAAAAAGCCAGAAAAAGTCCCTGTGAAAGAAATATGGGTAATTCTCCTGACTATATATTGTTATGTCTCCGTTTGTCAATTGATTTTCCGTAACTTCGTTCCGACGAAACTTAAGCGACACAAGTTCTTTCTTAATAAAAACTGGTTTATTCTTTCCGAATATAACTTTACCGATACACTCAACTTCAACAATCGCGTTAAAACAAACGCTAATCAACGAACGTCAACAATACTTCTCACTGCAGTTCAATTACTCACTATCACTCACACATTACATTCCCCTCTTTTATATACCAGCGTACCCTATTTCTAGTA